CGAAATTGAGAGGGGTGACTTGACTGAGCCAAGAATCCCTGCAAGTTCTGCAGCGCGAGCTTTCACTACACGCGCTCCGAGCTGGGGTGCGCTAACTCAATCGGTAGCAACCACACGTGGTTATCGGAGACTTTTATCAAACCGTTACCGTTTTCCGCGTACCGTACTATCGGAACCTTTGAATCATGCTTTCAAGCTTGCGCCCGCGGGTGATTTACCGTGACTGCGAGGCGCGCGCTTAAAATCACGCCTCAAAGGCTTCGGTCGGAACACGGTCCGGTTTGGACGGCACACAAAGAGGTATTTTTTGTTCCTCGCGGCCTCGGATTTTCAATATGTTGAGAGTTCGCCTGCTCGCCCGCATGTTCGTCTCTGTATTTTTTTGTGTCAGACACTTCTCTTTGTTCACTCTCATGGCGAATTCCACCGGTCGTTTTGGATGACTAGCCTAAATCCGCTGCGGAGCAGCTTACGATCCGTCCGGAGCCACAACGCCTCCGACTCTACCAGCGGAAAACGACAGCTGATAAAACCCGTTTTCTCTACTGACGTCGAACCCCTGGTTAGCTCAGTTGGTAGAGCGCTCCACTTGTAATGGAGAGGTCCCGGGTTCGATACCCGGACCAAACGGATTTTTTCGGTCGCTCACCAGTCACCTAGCTGTGTTTGGAGATTTGTGTTTGTCCTTTGTCCCTTTGTTCCCCTTCTCCAGGGATTATCTTCGTCAGCCTCCTGGAGTGGCCAACTTTCTTCCCGGCATTCCGCATCGCGCGCTGAGCTCTCGTCGTTTTCGGAAAGCGCCTGCGTTCCCGTCATGCTCAGCGAGGCAGGAGGTCACGTGCCCCCAGAGATTGGCTTCCGCTCCGCTCCGGCAAAATCGGCAGATCGTGGGCGCTCCAAACCGAGATCCGGAGTCGGCGTTGCTCCAGAACGACGAGCGAAAGACATCCGGGTCGATCCAACAAGTACCAGGGGAGGACGCGCGCTCCGAAAAAGTTGATCTCGGAGTGAGCCAAAACCAGCGAGTGGAATTCGCCGTCAATTACTTTGCTGAACCACAATTTCCGAACTTTGGTGTTAGTTTATTTGTTTTTTCACCGAACTTGTGTGACGGCGGCATGATGAATATACAGCCGGGCAGTGGATGTGTTCACATGGAAGCGATTGTAACGCATCAAATCAAGATTTGACAACTCTGACTGGGTAGAAGATGATTGGGCATTTTGTGTACGCGTCCTTTCTCGATTTGATGCGCTTCGGTGACATCCATGCGAACGAAGCCCACTGCGCATTCCCGAGTCCGACACAATGAGCGTACTATGTGTGCCTGATGCGACCACGCAGGCTCCACTTGAAGCACCTGCCGCTGAGGAAGCGGATCTCGCTGGCCTACGCACAGTGCCTCAAGCACGACACTCAGGGGCCGTCGGCAGATCCCGCCAACACGCGGTCGGCCGCGCTGCCCACCGCCTGCGTCAACCACGCCGATCACGGAAGGACCAAACGTTCGTATACGAGTTGCCTCCTCGATTTGCATCGTTCGTCCACGTAAATCATCCGCCCGGCTAAATCAAACGTCAGCGTTCGATTTACCTGCTATGTTTTCTGCCCCTAGCTACACCTGGTGCACACCGCCGTATTCGGTATACGAGTGCAGCACATCTAAAAAAACGACAAGAAGTATACATTGCCCTGCACTTTTCTGCGCCGGTGCCGACTGGTGCAGGAAATAGAATGAGCGCAGTGGACTCACTATATAGTCACCGGCTATAGATCACATCAGCTGTGGAACTTCCGCGCAAAAGGATCCCCCCCCCCCCCCCCCCCCCCCCCTTTTCAATCCCTTCAGTCCGCCTCCCGTCGTTTGATGCGCCATCTAGAGTTTCGTTTCAAAACTGTGTGTTCCATAGATTACTGATTAACGCCATCTAGATGTTGTGCTTCGAAACATACGCATGCCATAGAATACGCTACATTTACAATAACTGCCGGCCCCCCAGAATGATGGCGCGTCGAAAGATAGGAGGTAAACCTCGGGAAAGGAAGGGGGGTTACTACCTGTGTAGCGTAAGCAGCATCTATGGGCAATTTCGTAACTGATGTAGTCCAGTAATGTTGGTTCCCTGAGAAGCTATAGTCAGCACGACGAGGTGTTTGTATTCTCCATATATGGAACGAAGTGTGCCCATGAAATAGAAAAGCTCAGTCAATGGGTGCCACCATGCAAATATGGAGCAAACAACTGGACTGCCACGTCATTGCGCGGCAATGCGGTTGTTTGCCCTGTATATCAATGGCGGCGTCCAGAGCAAGGCCAGTGCAAGCCACGTACTGATTGCGGCAATAACAGCGGTGGAGAAAGAGGATGAAAGAGCATACGTGGCTGCGGGTAGCACACCTAAGAATGCCATCCTTTCATCCGCAGCTGTCATAAAGCCCGGGGCGCCGACACTCAGCGACCGAGGGCAGGGGAGGCTACGCTGCCCGCTGTGTAGCAAGCGCTTCTCCCAGCACAAAACGCACAAGGCCCACGTGCAGCGTCATCGACAGAAGGACTCGGGCCTCTTCAAGTGTCCCAGGTGCGACAAGCGACTGGTGCAGAGGTCCTCGCTGATCACGCACTTGCGCATCCACACCGGCGAGCGCCCGTTTCCGTGCGAGGACTGCCCGGCCCTGTTCAGCGACAGGTCCTCGTACAAGAAGCACCGGCGAACTCACAGCGGCGAGAAACCTTACCAGTGCGCAGTCTGTCGCAGGTCCTTCTCGCAGTCGGGGAACCTGAAGCGACACACCCGCAAGCTCCACGCGAGCTCTCCTCTTTAGCCTCGCCCGTGGCGTCCGGCATACGGGAGGCCATGCCCTTCGAGCAAACACCCAATGTCTTTCGACAAAGATGCAATAAAATCACCTATAGGCTTGTATGTAGTCACAGTCGCGCTAGTGACAGTGTCAAACTAGTCGCAGTGTGAGTCACAGTCACACTGTGACACAGTGTGACACACACTCATACACAGTGTGAGTCACCACCGTGTCACACTAGACACAGTCACAAAGTAACATAAGGCTTGCACATAGCCCTTTTTATACTTACCGGTTTCCAAGCCCGACAATCTTGTTCTTGGTGGTGTGGAATACACGTCGCAAAATCACTGCGGAAGCTTACCGTCAGCAACCATTGAGGAGATACGGCAGGTATAGACGCTTTACACATGCGCCAAATTACAGCCGCCATTGCTGACCTTCTTTTGTCTTACCGAGATGCCGAGCAACTGAAACGGTAGTTGACGATTCTCTACAAAGGCCGATGCTTTAGAAAAGGACACAGTGGAATCTAATATGGCAATAACCTGGCCTGCTATGGTAATGATGAAGTGAAATAAACGAAATAAGAGGAAACAAAAACTGAAGGTCAGTTATGGCGGCGTCCATGCACAGCTGCTGCAAAGCATCTATACGCACTGAGCTATGGCTGCCAGTGAGTCACCCCTATCGTTACGGTGGCTAAAAGTTACCGTTGCTGTTTGTTTTTATATATCTTTCAGATGCTGACAGATGCTCGTAAATAAAGTAGCATGCATAGGCTCTGCTTGCAGAGCCAAAGTATCGCATCCCTTTTCCTTTCGCCGCCAACTCCGTATTGGCGTATCCGAAGTTCGTGCGGGAAAGCGACCTTGCAGGCGCTGAGTTTCTGGCAAATTATGTTTCTCGCTTTGTGTTTGTGAAATATACATCATCTTACACTAAACTAGAACGAACTGGAAGGTTCCTTGGCCATTCAACATTATGTGTAGCCGCTGGATACAGTACAATCGCTTTGTTTTATAACGCGAGCGATGTTTTAAGACATCGCTCGCGTGATGTTTTCGAAGTCTGGGAAGAAGACGACGCCGAGGACGATCGCGTAGCTCGCGCATCCGGGGCTCTTGCAGAAGCGACGGTCGCTTCCCGCAGTGCAGCCTTGGATCTAACATGGCCGCCCTGGAAGCACCATTGCGGCACTCTGCTCCGTAAGGCGGAGCATACACTCTGCTTGTAAACGACCGTGTGCGCCTCCTTGCTGAGAAAAACATGCCAAGGCTCTGAATCAATGTAGTGATGCAGGCGAGTTGGTTCATGATAACAAACTTGTAGCAGCGCGCAAAAAAAGAAAAAAAAAAAAAACACAGACTAAGGGAGGAATGGTTATGACGAACGCCTAGGGGCGCTCGTCCTGTCCATCCCTCACTCTGTGTATGTTTTGCGCGCTGCTACCCGTTTGCAATGCTCTGATGCTGTGCTTTGGTGAACGCGCAACAGAGCCGCTCTCTTCGTCGATTCCAAACCGGGAGGAAGTGCGGAAGCGAAGTGGCAGTCAATACATAGACGATCCTAGTGCCACAAAAGCTATGCTTCCGAGTAAAGGCCAAAATCATGGTTGCCAGTTATCTAAAGCTTTATCTGAAATCACAAGGAACGCTTTTCCGTCCTCTACAAATGTTCAAACTGGTCGCGACGGAGCAAAGCAATATTTCTTGAGCTTCCTAACATAAAATCTAATTCTGAGGAAGCCGCACATTTGAATTATCATAATAGAAAAACCCAGGGACAAGGAGCTAAAAAGGACGAGAACAAAAACAAGTAGCTCGCCTGCGTCTTTACTCTAATTTCTGTTTTTGAATCATGACGACCGGCAGTTGCGTCTGTTTTGCACAAGCACCAAGATGGCGGCGCCCACCACAATATTGGGGGACAGAGTGCCGATACTCTAAGCTAGAGCCACTAAATAAGCGTAGTTTATTTATACTCTGTTTCACCTTATGTTGTACCGCAGGAAAGGCTACATGCGCGAGCTCCTTGCTCTAGGGCACATCTCGGCGGCACAAGCTCCCGTGCACAAAGGGCAGCTGGCAACGCTATGAGCTCGCGCTTCTAGCCTTCACTGCGGTGCAACATAAGGTGAAACGGAGTCTAGTGGCATTATTCTAAGCGTAGCTCATTTAGTGGCTCTAGAAGGTGCCACGATGGCACGCGTGTCGGCTGCTTTGGTCACGTGCTCTGGTCACGCGACGGGAGCTAACGTTGGTGGCAGCAGCCCGATGCAGCGTCAGCCCGCCTTCCCGGCCTTCTATTATGTGGCCGGCTTCTCGTCGCTCGCCTCGATGACCATGGGCACCATCCTGGGCTACTCGGGCCCGGCGCTGGCTAGCTTGGCCGCCGACTCCAGTCCTATTCGCATGACTCCTTCCCAAGAGACCTGGTTCGGCTCAATCCTAGCTGCCGGGGCCCTGGTGGGTAGTCTGGCCACCGGTTACCTGATCGAGCGCTTCGGCCGCGTCCGAACCATTCAGTACTCGTCAGTGGGCTTCGTCGCAGGCAGCCTCTGCATCGCCCGCTGCGACGCCAGTCTGCCCTGGCTCTTCCTGGGCCGCGTTCTGACGGGCTTTTGCTGCGGTCTGGTGTCCCTCTCCGTTCCCGTGTTCGTGTCGGAGATCAGTCCACCCCAGGTGCGGGGCCTGCTCGGATCCTGCGTCCAGTTAGCCATCACGTTGGGCATCCTGCTCGTCTTCGTGTGCGGAAAGTGGCTGGACTGGCTCTCGCTGGCGCTCGTGTGCACAGTCTGCCCAGTGTTCATGGCCATCTCCATGTGCTTCGTGGTCGAATCTCCCCGGTGGTTGGTGGCCGTCGGCGAGCGCGACCGTGCACTGCAAGCGTTGCGCTTCCTGTACGGTCCCAAGTTCAGCGCCGAGACCGAATGCCTGGCCATCGAAGCCAACCTGGGCAGGCAGTCGTCTGCCACCCTACGCGACCTGGTACGCCGCAGCTTCTCTCTGCCACTCGTGTATACGCTACTGCTCATGTTCTTTCAGCAGTTCTGCGGCATCAACGTGGTCACCTTCTACTCGGTGGCTATCTTCGAAGCGGCCGGTTCCGACATCCCGGCAGCCGACTGCATAATTCTGCTCGGAGTGGTTCAGGTGGTCGCCACGCTGGTCGCCACACTGCTCATGGACAGAGCTGGTCGCCGCTTGCTCATGTTCATCTCCTCGTCCGCTGTTGCTTTCAGCCTCGTCGTGCTTGGAATCTTCTACTACGTCAAAGACCTGGACAACGGTACATTCAGTCACCGCTACCGCTACGTACCTCTCGCGTCCCTTACCACCTACATCGCCGCCTTCTGCTTGGGCGTTGGACCCGTACCCTGGGTCGTCATGGGAGAGATACTTTCGCCAAGGGCTCGGGGACTGTCCACGGGCGTCAGCACAGCCTTCTGCTTTCTCTGCGAGTTCATTATCACCAAAGAGTTTCAGGATCTCGTGTCCCTTTTTCATTTTTCGGGACTCTTCTGGATCTTCGCAATCATCACGCTTGTGCAAATAGTCTTTGTGTACGTCTGCATTCCAGAGACGAAGGGCAAGTCACTCGAGGACATCAGCCAGCTATTCCAAAGAACTCCTGAACTGAGTTCTAGCGTAACGACACTCGACACCGTGCCCCTGCACGGGAGCAGACTGACCCTTCAAGTCGCATCACGCCCCTTCTCTGGAAAACATGGCGGCGATGTCAACAGCGATAGAGGCGACGTCCACACTGCTACTGATCAGCTCGGGGACCGAGGGCACTGCAGACTGTTTCACGCCGTTGTCAACGACGAGTGACTCAACAAGTTAGCTCGTGTTGCTACACTGAGATGATAGAACAATTGTGTTTACAATCTTTACAAGCATTTGTGTGCTGCAACATTGCCAACATCATATTCTTGTACAGTGAATGGCAACCAAGAACAGCAAAACGAATGTCACCCCACAGCAGGTCACCTTATTACCTAATTTACCTAATATAACACTATAGTCAGAAAATACCTATTTCCGGATTACTTCTGCTAAATCATTACGTAAAAAAAAATATTATTTAACATGTGTTCAGAAAGATAAGCGAGTTTCGGCTCCAGAAGTATATAAAAGACTATTGAAACTTGTGAGAATACATATATCAATGAATAATATTAAAATATTAATTGGGTAAAACTAATGCGCCATCCGGACTTTGACGCACTGTTGTGTCCGAGAGATTTTAGCACTTACCCGCTTCGTAGTTTTCCCACTTACTTCACCCGTTTAGAAATACTCACGTTCATCGAAGCCCAAGGTGGGAAGGTGATCGGTTGTAGTTTGGCTTGTTGACCGGCCTGGCGCCTTCGACAGAGATGTTTGTCGGATTTAGGCATTTTTCGACGAGTCTCGTCTTTTTACGCACTTGAACGGCGCTGGACGATGAATCCTACTTATGCGCCTACGACGGCGATCACTACGGGATGGACATAACCAATATTGAGTTCGAATTTACTACCTATCTTTAAGTAAAGCACACGCACACACAAAAAATACAGATGAGGATGGAGGGCTGACCACTATTTGCGTCGTAGAACTTTAAAAAGCGAACTTTTTTTTTTTCGTGCGTGATATTTTTGGGGATAGCTTTTTCGGAGCCTTTGATCGTCCAGTTTTTGAACGGTGTCCGTCCTCCACTACCTCTCTGCCGTGTTTCCTCGCCCAATCGGTGCAGAATTCGTCACAGCTGATTCTGAATGCACCAAACTCGACTCCGGAACTATTGCGGTTTTCGAGCACCGCGCTACCGGTCATCTCAAAGATTTAGATGGCAGTGCGCGCTCTGAGTCAACTGCGCATTGCCAACCCAGACACGGGAGTGTAAGAAACGTTGGCAAAGCTTTGCGTGTTTTTTTTTTTTTATTTTATATATATATATTTTTATAGTGACATTGTACGTAAGGTTTCGGTATTTATTTTTGTTTTCTATTGACATGGCTTTAGGACGTTTACGAAGAGCGTGACAATACTCCTCAAGCGGGTTGCTCGTCGTTGCCCCATGTGACTATATTAGTTGTCGCGAACGCCACCAGTCGAGCGCTCGTCGGAGAAAGCCGCGCGCTCCCTGTGATTAGCTGTCTACAATATATATATATACGCCAACCCAGTGTTTACAGAGGAGCCCGCTTTGCCCACACCAGGTGCGAGCCCTGCGCGTGCGCAGAAATCAAACTCGGGAAGAGGGAAGTCTCTACGTATGCGCAGTACCGACAGCAGCGCCACCGCGGGTGCGTGACGTCAGTGAGTTGAGTTGGTCTATAGCAATCATTTGGAACGAGAGCAGGTTAGCCCCCGAAAGCGTAGTTTTAGGATTCCGGTCAGGTGTTTTGAACGTAATTATGCTGTATAATCTAAAAAAAAAAAGAAGAAAAAAAACCCTGAATTTAGGGGAGAAAACAGGAGAGATGAGGCGAGATGGGCTGACTACCAACGAGTCTTAGTGAAAACTTCTTATGTTAGGGCGTCCTCCGGCAAAAACATTTTTAACAAAACAATAAAAAAAATGATCTACAACAAAATTGTTTGAAAAAGTAAAGAGAAAAACACTTCGTATCCGCTGTCCCTCTCCAGCTCATGCTGCCCGTACGTGGGGTGGGGCACAACGGAGAAATCGTTTTTCTGAATGGTGAAGACAAATAGACGGTGCGCTGACATCATCTTCGGCGTGGTCCTCGATGGCAAGCGCCTCGAGCACCTCGCCCCATCCAACGTACGGGCAGCATCAGCTGGAGTGGGACACTGGAGACCAAGTGTTTTTTTCTCTTTACTTTCTAAAACAATTTTATTCGTAGATTTTTTTTAAATTTATATTTAGTTAAAAATGTCTTTGCTGGAGAACATCAGAGCGTAAGGAATAAGTTTTCACTAAAACTTGTTGGCAGTCAGCCGTCTCGTCTCATCTCTCCTGTTTTCTCTCTACGTTTCTTTTCTAAGCTCAGGTTGTTTTTCCAAGTATGTACAAACACGCTTAGCTCATCACCGTTATGCTGTATAATCAGACGTTTCTTAAACGAAACAGTATATTGAAGAAGTTTGTAACCATGCAAAAACGGTGACTAGTTGAAAAAGTGGTGTGCAGGTTTATTTATTTATTTATTTATTATTATTACTTATACTCATTTGAGGATTTTTGTAGGGTGGTTACAAGCACAGACACACAACCGCAACAAGATACATAAAAGCTTGTATTGTTACATTAAACGTACTTCGCAAGCAAAAAGGCAGAGCGCGCTAACCTGGACAACATTACGATTTTAGGCCTGAACAAAGCGTACAATGAATGGTGCAACTTGAATTATGTCTACCCGTAGGCTGCATTTGTCTTTCGTTGTAGAAGGAACCTATATTCTCACAAAAAAATATACTAGACATAACTTCCGTTTCTTTTCGTTTACAGACAACCGACTTGATGTCGAGGAGTCTAGGATTTCACCAGACAGCAGGAGAGTTCGCGTCGCCCATCGGCGACTTCGCAAGGTGGCAACAGGTGGCGCGACGCGAGCCGAAGTGAATCGAACGTTTCTCTTGGGCGGCGAGAGATGGCACCACCGGGCGTTCCCGCGCCCGATGTGGTGTGCCCGGATTTCCAGCTGCTCGATCGTGGGTCGCCTGCGTGTTGGGGTCGCGTTTACACTGCGCCGACAAACTGAGGGAGAGAAGGAGACGAGACCATGAGGGGACGTTAAAATGCCGGGTTCTGATTGGACAGATTAGTGGGCAGACCTAAAGACAGCTGCCGTTGTCTTCACTGCACTCGTCGAACGCTTTAGAACGCTGAACGCTGGCATCTGGCATTTGGCTCTCGCGTTTCGATACTCCTCACCACTTGGCATTTCATGCATTAACATGAACGAAAAGCCTGCGCAGCTGCGTCCGCCATTAAATATTAAACGCTCTCCATTTGGTTTGAGTTTTCTCCTCTCTTAAATATAATATCTGTATCTGGCCAACTTCGAAGAGATACCCTAACAGTAAGGTTAGCGTCCTCCAGCAGAGTGATGAAAAATGCCACCACGGGTCTTTGAAATCCTCGGAATATGCGTAAAATTACCATTTTCTAGGCTTTGTAAACGTTTATCGAACGAAAAAAAAAAAAAAAAAAGTGCTTCAACGACAAGGACTTGGACGGCACGGGGAAAGATTAGCTAAACTCGCAGTCCTTCTACCCATCATCATGCAACCAATTGTTGCTTGCCGTTGAAAACGTGACTCATTTTCTTAAAAGGGACCCACGGCACGAATTTCGGGCTGGAATAAAGTATTTAAGATTGAGATTTTTACTAATCGCGTATCGCTTAGTGGGCCAAAAGAAAGATAGCAGAAAGTCAAAAGCCTGCTTTATTCGCTACGGAAATTCGAAACTATAGCGCACTATTTCGTGCCTCCTTTCCTTCGAATGCTCTCCGCCTTTTCACTGCGATACATTCGCGGTACCCAACGCCCAAAAGCACGTCGGCCAGTCCCAGCTCACGCATTGGACACTAGCCCTGCGTCACTCGGACGTATGCGCTCGTCAACAGCCATTCCGTCGACGAATATTCGGATTCGCGTTCGTGGCCAATGTTCGTGGCCAATAGGTTCCGTGTAGGCACTTATCATCACTTGCGAATGACAAGTTCTATGGTGTGCTTCAAAAGCACGGGGAAGTTTGTGAACTACAAGCATGTCACGACCACGTGATTTGAGTTGAGGATTAAAGATGATAAGAAAGAAGTCGAAAAAGCTTTTCATGACCCTTTTAACTCCATGGAAAGTGTGAATTGCACCGAACGCCTTTAGGGTATCTTTGTGGCTTCACGAGAACGTTTGAGTCATCACCCTAGTGAAATAAATTATATAAACGCGTACAATAAACGCACAACAACATAAATGATCATAGGAAAACATGATATGGTCTTCACCGTTGCCAGACTAGTGGGGATTCTACTGAAATCGGCAAATTTAATCTGTTGACACTAAAGTTACTTGGTCTTCGCATCGAACACTGATGATGCTGGATAATTTCACAGCAGTTTTCTCTATTCGAGTTAACACAGGGTGTTTCATGGAGCATCGGTTATGGCCGTCGCAGCACCGTGCCGGTTGGTTTGGTCCGTTGAGTGCGCTTCTCCCCGCACACTGGTGAGCTGCGGTGAAGCAACACCCGCCGAATAGACACCCCGCGAGTATTCCCATTCGCATCACGCACACACGTCCAGCATTGTTTAGTTGGAGTCATTAAGAAATTGCGTGAGACCAGGTTCATGATTTCATCATTCATATTAGTCATTTTCAGTCAATGTAAAAAAAGATTACGTGCAGCGAGCGGTGATGAGATTTCATAACTAAACCTTTTTTTTTTTTTTTTCTTTTTTTACGTCGCTATTTGTTATAAGTTTAAGTCGTAGTAGCCCGATCCTCTTTTATCCGGTTGGGTCTGATGTAGGATCTTTTTAACCCTTTAGTATCGGACGGTTAATACTAGAAAAGTGGCGCCCCATTTGCATATTAGTGGGGACTTTTAGCAAACCGTTACCGTGTTCCGCGTACCGCACTACCGGAGCCTGTGAAGCACGCTTTTAAGCGCTCGCCCCGCGGTCACGGTATCACACGGGTGCGCGCTTAAAAGCATGTTTCGAAGGCTAAGATTCGCGTTTGAACGCGTCCGAAGAGCGAGTAGAGACATCTTGGCAGCTAGCTTTTGCGTCTCCCCACTAATCCTTCCAACCAGAGCTCGATGTTCTGACCTTCCGGCGGGCTCTCGTATCCTCCCCTTCCTCAATTTTTAC